TGGTGGCAGCGGTGGTCCAGCTGTCCACCAGGACGTCGACAGGACCGCTAGCCAGGTCAGCCGTAATCCCTCTCATGGCATCCTGGAAACCAATCAGATCCAGTAGTCTTCGAGGGCGGGCCATTGAAATAGGCCCCTGCTCCCTGCGGGGGGGGGGACCACTGTGAGGTTACATTTAACAAGGGGTTGATCTGACCATGACAAGGGGACTGACACTAGGTCCGTCACCATCAGACCACTCTCGCCCCAATTGGAGGAAAAAACCAGGTCCAGAGTGTGACCACCCATGTGGGTGGGGCCGTTGACATGCTGGGACATGTTCAAGGAAGCCATGGTTTCCAGGAACTCAAGAGCTGGCCCGGCAACCTCTGCCTCCGTGTGCACGCTGAAATCACCCAAGACCAAAAGCTTTGGGGATCCTAACAGTGCCGCGGAGACAAAACCGGCCAGCTCCGAAAGGGAAGTGGCTGGGCCGCAGGGGGCACGGTAGCCCAGCAAAATCCCAATTGCATCCCTGGCCCCTATCAACACATGGAGTGCCTCTAGACCCGGCCTTACCACCAAGGAGCGCCTGGTAACCTCCAAGCTGGATTTATAGACAATGGCTCCCCGGCCTTCCAATCTACCCTGGTGCTGGACATCATAACCGGGTGGGCAGATAAGGGCCAGGGGAGGGCCACCCTCCCCATTGAGCCATGTCTCGGTTATGCATGCCAGGTCTGCATCCTCCTCCAGGATAATATCTTGAATCACCTGGGGCTTGTTGGATACAGACCTGGCATTCAACAGGACGAGGGTTAGAGTGGAAGGGTGGCTGAACTGGCTACTTCGATACTGGGGGTTGGCCGCAGTCTCAGAACAGTTAACAGCCTTCAAACATCTGTTCACTGTTCTACTAACACGAGCAGGGACTGTGCCACTGCCATATCGCCCTCTACCCATAACCACCAGGATGTTAAAGGCCCCTCGCTGGGCAAGCAGGCCTCCCACTCTATGCCAGACAAAGCAAAAAGGAGAAATAAGAAAGCAGACACTAAATAATATGACAACTTGACAATAAACACAATACGTTATAATGCAAAATTATAAACACACTACAAAATAGTTTAAATTAAAAAATATATAAAACATAATAGAATAGCAAGAGTGTTACCCCCCCCCATCTAAACCAAGTCCATCCTCTGCCACCTCACAACCTTGTCCTTTAAGCTTTACTGGTCTTGATGTTCTTAATGATGTTAATAAATTTTTAAAGGTTGTTTGGATTGATATTAAACCCAAGGAAAATGCCAAAGTGAGGGTGTTACTCACGAGTTGCATCAGTTTAAAAAGAACCGGCAGCGTTGGGAGCAGCAAAGTCCAGGCAAAAGAATAATTAGTCCCTGGTTTCTCCTTTACCCTTCCTTGAGAGGATGACAAGATGTTTTTGCAGGTGTTTCTGCAAATAGTCCAGGAAGGGCAGGGTGAGCAGTCCAAAGCTGGAGAAGGCACTGCCCACAGGGAGCCCAACATGGCGGCCGCCTGGCAAGTTGGCTCTCTCTTCGGTCATTGGAGATCTTCCTTCTGCCACCTTGCCACAGATAATCCGCCTCCCCACGACAGCGGCCAGAGATCCACAGCGCTCACAAACGGCCCGGTCCCCACCGTTAGCCCCAGGAGATCCGACAACCCAGGTTCCAGGCTCCGGGCTTCGACCTCGACCATGCGGTCGGAGCAAAGATTATCAGGGGAGGGAGGGCGCCCAGCCGCCAAAAGTCGGTCCTTCTCCTCCAGGAAGGGCCCTGTCATAAGCCTGGTTGGCGAGCCCGTTCCCTGGTAGGGCAGGTCTCCGGCGAACATTCCAGGCTCCGGTTCCAGGCTCCAGTTCCCCAGCGGTGTGAAAAGCGCCCGAAACGCCACCTCCTGCAGGCAGCGAGGCTCCCGAGCGTCCAAGCTCCGCTGAAGCTGGGAAGCCCAGACCGGACCTCAACCCCGGCTCCGCGTTTGAGCTCCGGCTCTAGCCCCGCGGTCACCGCATTCGATCCGGCAGCCAGCAATCGGAGGGTGAGGAGAGGACCCAGAAAAGAGGGGAGAGGGGGAAGAAAATGAAGGGAGAGGGAGGAGAGAAATAAAGAGAAAAAATAGTAAAAGCATGAGGCGAGCCGGCATGGCGGACGTAAGCGTTAGCCGCCCGCTACCGACACCATCTTGTAGTATCTGTATCAACAGAGTTAGGAAATGTTATTTTGGGACTATAATTTCCCAGGACACCCCCTCCCAACTGGCCTGGCCCCTGCTCACAGTGTTGGGGAATTCTGGGAGTTTTAATCCAAAAAGAGAGTAATGTTTCCGCACTCTGTTTTTCAGATGGTTCAATGCCTTTCTCTGTGGGGCATAAAGGCTTCCTGCGACCAGTTTCGCTATTAGCAGTTATAGTTGTCACCTCAGAATTATTTTTTGGGGGGGGGAGTAGTGAGTGACTCTTTTATGATGCCAGCACGTTTTTGTCCTTTTTGTTTGTTCTTTTTTTATTTTCTTTAATCACATTGTATTTTTAACCACCAGAGTTAAAAATGCAATGCAATTTTAAAAAAAATAAATACAGGGAGGGGGAGGGGAAAGGATGGTTTCCCCTTCAGGGCAGGCCCCTCCCCCTTCGCCCACCACCGCTTTCCCGCCTTTTCCCAAAGCCTCTGTGGGAAGGAGGGAAGGGTGCGCATGCGCTGTGACACATGGGAGGTAAAAGAGCTCGCGGGCCCCAAGGGAGGGGGCAGCCGTTGGGCGCTTGGCGGGAAAAGGGGCCGCGGCGGAGGCGGCGGTTATTCCCCGCTCGGCGTCTTTTGTCTCCTGCACGGCGGGAGCCTCCCCTGTTTTCCTTTTCTTCGCTGGTCACGAGGAGAAGGGGGCTTGGAAATCAGGAACGTGGGGCTTGTTCCGCTTCGCCCTCCCCCCCCCATTTTCCCTCCGAGTAACCCGACAGTCGCCTCATCGCAAGGCGAGGTAGAGGAAGGCCCTGTTGACCGACGACGGAGGGGGCTGGCCAGGCAGTGTTGGAAGGGGAACGGCCTGAGGCGTCCCTGCCCGCTTCGGAATTCCTTCCCCCCAACCCTCCCGCGCATGCGCAGTGTTTGAAGGAAATGGACTTGAGAAACCCTCCCCCCTTGGGCTCTGACGGAAGGCCCTCCTGAGGATTCTGGGAAGGACCGTTGGCTTGTGGGGGGGGGCTGAGCGTCATTTCTTCTCCCCCGTCTCACTCCCTAGTGAAAAACTTGGAGTTCCCTCCACCGTCGCAACCCCCCCGAGGAGTTCCCTTTGGAGAAGATAAAGGCAGGGGCTGCTCACACCCCTCCCTTTTGCTTTTAGGAAAAAAAAAACATTCATTAAAACACTGGGGGGGAGGAGAGAGAACATAGAGCTATGAAGGCAGGGAAGGAGGTCCTCCCGCGGGCGCTTCCGGACAGGAACTGGAAGGTACGCGCCTCTGTGCCCGAACTCTATAGTTTCCAGCAATCCCGCGGCCAGAGCGGCCTCTTCCGGAGTCTCTCGCGGTCGGACTTGGAATGAGGTGGGCGCTCGCGGTGCGGAACGGTGTGTGTGTGTGTGTCTGTTTTGGGGGGTCAAATATGGGGGGGGGAAGAGCGGGGGGTGGGCGGGGATCTCTTTATCCTTCGTGGCACAAACGCTTTGTAAAGCAGGCCTTTTTCCCCCCTCTGGGTCTCTTACGTAGGGATAGACCTCACAATGTCTCCCAGCTCCTGTGAGGGGTGTGGGTTGGCTACGAGGGAAAGAGGGACGCCCGAGCAAGGTGTGGGTTGGAAGAGTGCAGGTGAAGACCTGATAAAAGCCTTGAGACACGAACTGCCCCCCCACCACTCCCTCCACATCACTACTCCCTGTTGGCACACAGGGCAGCCAGGATAGTGGCAAAAAATGTAATGGCCCAAGTGAAAACAGAGGGGGGGGGAGGATGTAACCAATGGAAATCCAGCACGGCAGTGAAGGCGGCAGTTCTGTGTGAGGTTTGTTGGTGTCAACTTGGGGGTAGAAAGTGGCGTCAGAAGATTGTGTCTCTTCCTGCTTCCATTCTGAGACATTCCTAAAGGCAGGAGATCCATTCAGTAGATTTGTAATCTTGAAATCTATTGACTAACATCGAAGGTGTTGGTGTTCTTTTGTACTTGTGACTAGTCTGACTTGTCAACTACAATTCACTGGCTCCCTTGAATGGTTTCTCAGGTGGAGAAATTGCAGCCTTCCACAGCTGCTTCTTTTCCAGTACAGTGGACCATCTACTTAAGGAATTAATCCGTATTGGAATGGTGGCTGCAAGTGGAAAAGTGTAAGTCAAATCTCCATTGACCTACAATGCTTTGAAAACCGATTAATCCCATAACCAGTGGTTTTTATTCTATTTTTATTCCATTTTGGTTTTTTTCTGGTCTGTAAGTTGATTCTGTGGCTGCAAGTCAAATCTAAATTTTGCAGCCAGAGAAGTCTGTAACTCGAAAAGTCTGTAAGTCGAGGGTCCACTGTATGAGTCAGCGGGAAACACACGGCCTGCTGTTCTCCTACCCCTGCTAACTTCAATGGCTGAGCTTTTGCCTCAGAGTCTGTGAGATGCCTCCCCTTCTTTCTCCTCCTCCTTTCCTTCCTCCATGTTCTTTCTTCATTAGCTTTCTTTCCATTCTCTTTTTTCTATTTCTCCAAAGAAGGGACAGACGTGTTGATGTAGCTCCACATGATATGAAAAGGGCAAAAGGGCATAGTATAAGGGAAAGTAGGTTTTTTTCCCCTTTATCGAAGAAGCCTCCAGACTGATACTTTTCCTTTTCTCTCATGGACAGGTAAAAGTGAGCTGATCTCTCCTTGCTTCTCTCTGGACTAAAAGGGAATAACCAGATTCCAAGTTTGTTTAACATTTCCAAGGTAGGTGAGATGTTCTTTTTTTGTTTGTTTGTTTTTGTATCATAGACTCAGAGAAAAATAGAATTGAAACTGGAATATAAGGCTATCAAATCCAGGCTTCTGCTCAATGTACGAATCTAAGTTAAAGTATGTCTGAAAGATGGCTTTCTGTTTTCCTCTTCAATGCCTATAGTGTTGGAGTGCTCATGATTTCCTGTGAGAGTTGGTTCCATTCTCCTGCTGCTCTAGCAGTTAAGGAGTTTTTCTTGGTAATCAACCTAAATCTGTAACTTGAGCCCATTATTACATATCCTGAACTTTGGCATGACTGAAAACAGATCCTATCCATCCTCTCTATGACACTCTTTCAAGTATTTTAAAAGTGCTATCATGTCCCCACTAAGTGTTCTTTCATCAAGGCTAAACATGTCCAGTTCTTTCAGCCTTTCCTCCTAGGGCTTGGTTTCCAGCCCCCTGATTATCCTTGTTCTTCTGTGAACCTGTTCCTATGTGCCTGCATCCTCGTTAATGAGCAGAACCCTACACAGTGCTCCAGATGAGGCTTCAACAGTGCCTAATAGAGAAGTACTTTGTGTCATTTGGAGACTATCCTTCTGTTAATGCTGCCTAAACTGGCCTTTGCCATTTTTACAGCTGATTCCTGTAATAACAGAAAGATGGTCAATTCTACACCAGAAATGAGAAACAACAGGCAGGAATTAATATGGTGGGGGTTTTCCACCATCAAGGTACATTTATGAGAAAACAAGACAGAAAAGTAAAATGATTGCATAATTCAGCATTAGGTTTCCTGTTTCTGTTACTGGGCACAGGATAGAGAATAGAGTGCAATATACTAAATAGTTTCATAGAGCCAAAATTGTTTTAAATTTTATTTATAAAACTATGTTTCACGTTCTTGTTGAAAACAACCTTGAACTTTGATCTAGGATCCAATTCATCTTTTTGGCTGTCCAGGTTATCCACAAACCTCTTCTGGAGCACCACATTTTAAAGAAACCAATGGACTATGGGAATTGTTTTATGTACAGTGGTGTCTCGCTTTACGATTGCCCGGTTTAATGACGAAACCGCATTACAATGAACTTTTTGCGATCACAAAACGATGTTTCCTATGGGAGAATTTCGCTTTGCGATGATCGGTTCCCTGCTTCGGGAACCGATTTTTCGCAAAACGACGATTCTCCAACAGCTGATCGGCGGTTTCAAAATGGCTGCCGGGTAAACAAAATGCCCCCCCCCCCGTTTTCTGGGACGGATTCTTCACTGCACAGTCAGCGAAAATGGCCGCCCTATGGAGGATCTTCGCTGGACGGTGAGTTTACAGCCCTTTGGAATGCATTAAACGGGTTTTAATGCGTTTCAATGGGTTTTTTTTTTTCACATTTCTACGTTATCATTCTACAGCGATTTTGCTGGAATGAATTAATGTCATAATGCGAGGCACCACTGTACTTTGTTCTTGTTGAATTCAGTACTGGAGATTGTGATCTGGGTGGGATATAAATCTTGAAAAGAAATAAAGAAACCTTTGTATTTAAAACAAGTTGTGAGAGAACATAAAAAATGAATTATTTCAAGCCAGCGGTCAAACATGAATAGTCACACTTTAGAGCTCATAAACAATAGCAAAAAACCCCAGAAATGCAGTTTGTAGATCAAGTGTTTGACGTGTGCACTCTTATCTCCTGCACTCACACACCATCTTTAATTACAAAAACATGATCTCTCTCTCACTCTGTGTGTATGTTGTGTATGCCAACGGAGGCATGGAGATACATAGCGTTTGTTCATAAGGCTGTTCTTCTAATGTAGAGCATGGTGGCTTTGGGGTTATTCAGCTTGAAAGTTAAGTCCTTGGCATTGGGTGACTCCTGTTTTGGGGTCCTCTTAATCCAGTCCAGGTTTTAACTGCACTGGACAATGACTAATATCCCACTGGACAATAACTAATAGCCCACTGGACAATGACCCATAGCCATAATTTTGTAAATGCTGAGTAGAGTTATTCATAAATTCAGCATAAACTGGACACAACATGACACCTGTCCTGGACTGTACTAAAGGGGCAGCGAAGTGGGAAAAAAGCATCCAGAATGAAGGATTCAAGAAAATAAAACACCAGCAGCAATACAGTGCAAACTGAGAAGAATATGTATAACCTCAAAAAGTACAAGAAAATAGTTCATGTTCTGGGTTACAATAGTGACATAATTTTAGGTGCCGTTACGTTGCTAGGGGAATATGAATCTATCTTCTTTTATTTAAAGAGCTTAAAATTGAAATAAGAATTTTAAGAAAGTAATATGGCAAAAGTACAAAATTTAGAGGAACTTTCACACCAAAAAAAGGTAATACTTTTCTGTATCCTAGGCATGTAGTGGATTCACATGAATAAAATGACCTTATATAGTGTAGAGTGCCAACTTGTGTGATCTTAAGTGTCTTTCATTTTCTTATGTTCCTCTCCACCATGTTTGAAGGCGCTTTCTGTATATGTTTATTTCAGAAAACATCTGAGGTTCAATCTACCTGGTGTCTTTATTTAGGTCTCTGGCTGCAGAATCAGGTTGGGTGTTCATTTCCCCACTGTGCCTCCTTGAGAGGAAGCTGGACTTGATGATACATAGGGTCCCTTCCAACTCTACAGTTCAAAGGTGGTGGCGGTGGTGGTTAAGGAGGCTCCTGGGAACTGCAGAATGCTCAGGTTGACATCAGTCTTTGAGAAAATTCTGGAGCAGATGATAAAGTGATTTGTCTAAAAGCACCTGAAAATGATGCAGTAGTAAATAGATTTTCAGGAACAAATCCTGCCAGACTAATATTACATCATAGTTTGATTGGGTAATCTTACTGGTACATAGTGAAAATACTGTAAATGTAATATATTGTGACTATGAATTTTTTGACAGTTCACATAGAATCATAGAACAATAAAGTTGGAAGGAGATTATGAGTCCTATGAAGTACTTTGTTGTCGTTTAGTTGTGTCCGACTCTTCGTGACTCCATGGACCAGAGCACGCCAGGCCCTCCTGTCTTCCACTGCCTCCCGGAGTTGGGTCAAATTCATGTTGATAGCTTCGATGACACTGTCCGACCATCTCCTCCTGTCATCCCCTTCTCTTCCTGCCTTCACACTTTCCCAACATCACAGTCTTTTCCAGGGAGCCTGGAAAAGG